AAGGTGGAGAATGTTGGAATTGAATGGGGTTAAATTGGCTGCTTCCAAATTTGGTAAAATCGTGTTTTGGCAAATGCAACTCTTTTATTCCAGCTTATCACTAGATGTGTGACACGTGGTCAAGATGTGGCCATTGGATTTACTTCTGGATGGTTCTTTTGCTTAATGCCATTTCATTTGACATTATCTCGAAGGGTCATTTTTCTAGGGTTTCATTCATCTTCATGCTTTCTCTCTGGCTGCGCTATTTTCGAATACTCCTCTCTGATTTCTCTCTGTAAATCAAATCCTTGATTTGAGTTTGTATTGTGTAAGAGAGTAATTCCTTTGTGGAGATATTCTGAGTGAATAGCTGTGTGTAGTGTTCGTGTGGCTGTGTAGTTGTTCCTGTTGATTTAGTGTTCGATTCTTTGTGATTCGAGTGGATCAGCTGCTGTATAAGTGAGAGATAAGTGTTCTTGTACTTTCTTTGTAATTGTTCTGAACATTTTTCTAACATTTGTTGCAGATTTGGGCTTTATAATGGAACCGAACATAATCCATAATATTGGATGCTCAACAGGGGATATATGTGTTGGATGTGGTCGCCGAACCTCCGGGACTTAGGCCGGAACATATCGATTGTGTTTTTTTAATTCTGCAATTCATTTTCAATAAACAAACTTATACTTTCTGTTCTTGATCTAATATCGTGTGTCCTGGTCCAACAGTTATTTTTCGCTTTTTATGAAAGAAGTTAAACATGTTCTTAAATTATTTATATGGATAAGGTTGTAACTTAACTCTACATGGTATAATATTAAAATATGAACATACCACGTTAAAAAATAGATAGTACATGGTTGGGTGACGTCTAGACATTATCCAATTTTTTGACTTATTGTCCAAACGTTAAATGAGAGAATTATTCTAGCTAGCCAAATTTGTGTTGGTGCCAACTATTAGGAATATAATTTATACCATTGAACGTTTCTTTGTCAAGATTTTCTACTAGAAATTCTCATCTACCTTAAATAATTAGCATAAATCACGGTAAAGTGGAGTTCGAGAAAATTCACAATAGGACCTCAAGAAAAATAGAAAGCTGAGTCTTATTTTCAACTTCATTTCGCTACTCCAACTTATCACAGATGGACAATGCATACTTTTTTATTTTATAAAATCGGTTAATTTATTTTTTACTTCATAATTTTGATTCGAAAAATGATTTTAGTTTATGAATTAAGTTTCAAAAAGTGCAATCAAATTGGCATTTCTTAATAACCTAATCATTAATATCAGCAACTACAGCGAGTGTGTGCACACGCACACGCACACACTTTTATATAATAAATATGTAGTGGAAATATCTATAGTAAATTGATTTAAAAAATGTGTGGTGTTCAAACAAATTTTGTTCAACTTTTCGGTAATTAGATATAGTCAATGTGCACACGCACACACACTTTTGTTGATGATAATCTCGTGTTAATTTTACAGTGTCTTTAGTTTCTTAGATTAGGCTGAATTAAGAGCCAAAGAATCCTATTGAGCACCAAATATTTATAGAATGTACTCGCGCATTTTAACCGTGTTGATTACAACTCGACTTGGACAGTACCATCTACCACAATCCAAGCCTGCAATTTTTCGATGTTGCGTGCTTTCAGATTCCAAACCCTGTTAGATTCCATTAAACTAATAAATATGTCTTTCTTTCTTAATCTAATAATCAATTATTTCAAGAATCAGTGTTGTAAAAAAGGCTCTGTTGGGTTTTTTGATACTCAATAAATCCGAGCGATGATGTTAAACCGGTTTGTAGTTTGGATTAGA